TTCAAACTGAAATAGTCTATTCTATTCTATTCATTAAGGTAAAAAAAAATACAAACATATCTGAACATATTTTCAGTCTATCTGCAGATTACACTTCAAATAAAAGATGTCGTTTATTTTGCTAAAAATCTTTTATTCTTATCACTGGAGAAAAATCTACTTTTAGTAAAAAGTATGCTCTGAAAGAGCTTCAGGAACATTTTCTGCTTCAGGGTAGAGGTTCAGCTTTGGATGAAAATGAACAAGAATTGTCATCTAATGGCTGTTTAATAGTTTATTTGAAATTAGTTTGGTGGGGTCAGTCCTTTTCCCAGTTTCTATCATCCAATGCAATTAAAAAATAATCAGCATCTGTGTAGGTAGTCCCTGTAAAGAGATCACCAAACTGAATAAATATAAGCTACCGCTAAAAGAACTGATTCACATTTGAAGCATCTTGGCAGGTGAAAAAAAGGATATCTGAGCTGCTATTATCCCAGATGTTACTCATAATAAAAAAAATGAATCTTTGATGTTGTGAATTTGGTCTATTTTACAGCTGCCACATTCTAATATTTTTACTTACATGTCACAGTTTTATCCCTTCTGAAAGAAACTGTCTTTAAAAGAGAGCCCCAAGGATATGACCAGCCAAGCACTTATTGTGGCATTAACACATTTTAATAAGTTATATTACCATGGATATATTATAGTAACTGACCATGTGCATATCCCTACTCCATGGCAATGCAAAATAAAATGGATTCATGTGAACTAAGAATGGTTTATGTTAAAACAATTTACTCTGCACTTCAAGGACCAATGAAAGAAGGCCAGTATGCATGGCAGGAGTGATACCTAAGACGCACGAACCACTGACCTATTTAAACTTGCTAACATAACTGCAAATTCTTGTTTGGACATAGCCACAAAAATAGAAAAAGCACATTTTTTAAATTTAAATATGAACTTAATTAAATTACTACCTAAAAAAAAATATTTTAAGATTTATTTCAAGTAGTATTTTTCCCAAATTAGTAAAAAGTATGTTGAACTATTTAGAAGGAATGAACGTGTAAATGCGCAGCATGTTGTGTAACACTCACATGCAGATTTTGCTCTCAAACTTGCAAAAATTCATATGTGTGCTCATGTCAATTGTTTCAGCAGTCCCTTTCTCTTCAGATAGTGATACACAAAAAAGTTCAAAATTTTAAATGAATTTTCTGTAAGGTTGGGAAAATAGATAGACCTGGGTCATATCTGCTATAAACTCTATTTAAAATTCTTGTTAGGATGATTTGGTGTCAGATTTATTTATAGTGAAAGCTCCATGCTTTCACTAGATGTGTAATAGATGTATAACGGCTTACTGCTCCATAGGAACAGTACGCCCAGTTCCTCCAGGATTTAGCTGGTGATGTTTTTTATTAGACAAGTGTTAGAACAAAGGAATAATTTGAATTTACAGTACTGCACTAGGTCTGGCTGGGATGGAGTTAAGTTTCTTCACAGTAGCACGAATGGTGCTGTGTTTCGGTTCTGTGGCTAGAACAACAGTGTTGATAACACACCAGCCTTTTGGCTGCTACTAAGTAGTCCTTGCACAGTTCCCCTAGTGATTAAGCTGGAGGTAGCCAACAAGTGAGGAGGGGACACAGCTGGGACACCTTACCCAAATTGACCAAAGGGATGTTCCATACCCTATGAAATTTGTTGCTCATGCTGTAAAGAGACTTATGATATCACCTATTGTTGCAATGAAAGAAAGGCTGAGAGATTTGAGGCCATTCAGCCTGGAGAAGAAGAGCAGGGTCCAGGGAGACCTTTTTGC